ATTGGCAACTAAGTGAAACAAAATAAGTTTAAATTAAATAAGTTGAAGTACTAAAATTACTACAATTAAAACTGAAATATATAAATTGAAGCTAAATAAATAATAATAAAAAAAATGGCAAAAGCACATAAAATTACTAAAACTAAAAATATAAAAATAAAAGCTAAATATTAATGAACACTAATAAACCTAAAATAATACTGGTTCATATGACAACATTTAAAGATATAGATTTTGTCAGTAGTTTTATTTTATAAAAATAAATGAATCAATGAAATGTTACCATATTTTTTAAACTGTTAGTATTATTTATACACACACACACAATATGTAGTTAATTTATGCGACTTCGAAATATAGACTGTAGAAAGTTATTAAAATGTCTATGTAAACATACCTTTTGCAAGAATTGTTTGAAATTTACTATTAAAATTAAATAATTGATTTTCATTTCTTTTCTCCAAATATATTTTCTCAAGTTCTAAAAGAATCAATAATGGAATCACTAGAAAACTGGAACTGGAACCGAAAAAAATAAATAAAACCTCCTTCTGGGAGCACATTTCTGCATGTCGACTTCTGCTTTAGCATTGTACTTCTCACATATTAAGGAAAAGCGGTATGGGACAACTAGTTATATTGTGATGGACTTTGGATGAATTGCTTCTGCTTTCATTATTCTCACATATAAGTCATTTTTGATTAAAGCAATCTGAATGAATTAATGTAAATATACATTTCCTGGCAAAAACACACCACTGCTTACAGAAGAAGAAAGCTTGAGAAAGGGATATGGATTTGGCTCTGTGTGTGGGACACAGTAGAGAAAGAGCGGTTGTTTGGGCAGGATACCAGGTCAGTCAGTAGACAGCTGCAGCACTGAGGGAGATGAAGCCTCAGTGAGGGCACAAAGATCCAGACCCCCACCCTACAGAGACCAAGGTTTCGGAGCACAGCCAAAGAAGGATCCATTTCAGATTTATCCAAACTCTTTAAAGTAGAACAGAGGTCATCGACTGGATAGGATGAGAACAAAGGGGCATCAAGTCGAGGCTTATCGCTGTTGCACCTTTGCAGAGAAAAATACAGTTCCCAGAGACCTTGGCACAGCCACTGAGCAAAAGATAAGCACATAAACATACAATATCTGTATTACAGAGACTCCAGAAAGTATTTGGACATTTAAAAAAAAAAATGTCTGAATGTCATTAAATGAAATGGCAAAATATCAAAGCAAGAGGGATCTGCAAGCCAATGGATGCTAAGACTTTTCTGAGCTTTTCTGGTGTCAAGGCAGATGGAAGCCCATTTCTGTTTAAATAAATTACATTTAAAAAAGTATTTGTCACATTATTTCTCTAATGTGACATTTCTATAACATTATATCTCCCAATTTTGACTTTATATGTCACAATTATATATTTTGTGAATTTATCATACCTGTGACTTTATATCTCAAAATGTTTTATCTAAAATTGATCTATATGTTGTAATTCGACTTTATATCTCACAATGTGACTTGATTTCTTATTTTAAACTCACAATTGCCTGTTTTTATATAGGTGGAAATGGATTAACTATGAACATTCCACTAACGTTTGACAACCAAATACTTTCTGTTGCCATTTTGAACATTATATCTATTGTTTTGTCATTTGAAACCTTAGAAACTGTGTTCGAGCTACATTAATTTTATTATATTACACACTGACGTACATTTTTTAAGGTGACTTAAGTGACCAAATACATTTTGAGGCCACTGTAGACAGAGACAACAAACGCCCGATGCCCGAAAGGAGTGAGCGCAACAACTAAACACAAGTTTCTGGACGCTTTCCATGTTACATTGTTTAAGCCGAGATTTACAGGAACATTTAGACGGCAAGTGCCCGCTGGTTTGGCGCTGTCAGGCGTTTGCAGATTTAATCTGATCTATTATGCTGATGAGTTTGACTCGTTTCCAGAGCCTTCAGTGGCTTCACACTCACACAGTGAGCTGGCAGCAGACTCCATCACCTGCGCTGGTGAGCACACCGACACTTTGTCACTCAGTCACACCTGATACGAGTCCAAAAGCAGGTTGTTCACACCAATTCTAGTTCACTTTCTCTCCTCTAGCGTGCCAGAGAACTCTTTTGTCTCTGGAAATTTAAGTAAGAGGAGGTGTGCTTCTCTTCCTTCCTGGGATCCTACGCGTGTATGTGTGTGCGTGTGTTTGGAAGAGAGGCATGAATGAATTAATGATGTCTAAAGTAAGTAGGGCATGTTATAATGATGAATGTGTGTAAAGTGTGTTCATAGGACAGCGGAGCAGGAAGTAAGTGTGAGCGAGTAGAGCTCAGCTTCAGCCCTGCAGCTTCTAAACTCTAAGAGACGCTCTCCAACGAACCCTCTCATATATCATCACAATACACAGTCCCAGCACTCCTCTCCCTCATTCCTATGCGCTCTCGCTCCACCTTCAGCATACATGCACATTTTCTACAAGATGTTTTAGAATGTTATAGGCTGGAAACTAAAGCATAACAAAACATAAATGGATAGTTCAATCACAAATGACATTATATACTCACCCAGCATGTCGTTCCAAGCCTGTAGGACTTTCTTTCTTCCCTGGAACGTGAAAAAGAAAAGTTTAGCAGATGGTCCCAGGGTGCTCTTTTCTCTGCAATGTCCAAAAATGCATAACAAAGGAATTTAAGAGGTATATTTTTAGTGAATAATGAGTTCTTCACACAGCGCTATTGCTTCAGAAAACTAAGCGCACATGTTGTGTGGATCACTTATGGTGCTTTTTATTGGGTTATATGGGTTTGGAACAACATGACATAATTTTCATTTCTGATTGAAGGAACTATTCTTATAAATGTGTGTATGTGTACTGAGGTTTCATTCTAAATGCAAAATATAATGTATAATAAGCTGATTTACAATATTTACAAGATTTCTATATTGAATAAATGCAGTTCTTTTTAACCCTCTATTCATCAAATAATTTTGACAAGAAATTTTAACCACAGAAAAATATTACTTAACACAACTGTTTTTACTATTGATAATAATAATAAAAAAGAAACTTAAGCACCAAATCAGCATATTAGAATGATTTCTGAAGGATCATGTGACACTGAAAATAGGAGTAATGGCTGCTGAAAATGCAGCTTTGCCATCACAGAAATAAATATCATTTAAAAATATATTAAAATAAAAAAACAGTCATTACAAATTGGAATAATATCTCACAATACTACTGTTTTTTTTTACTGTATATTTGATAAAATAAATAAAAATCTTTTGAATGGATCAAACACTACTACAGAAACAAATAGGGTCTCTCTACACTACAAATCAAACCCAATAAATCAAACGCCACTCATTTGAACCCAAGATGATAAAAAGGAGAAAAGTGAGGGATGGAATGTCACTGAGCTGAGGATAAGGTCACTCAGAGGTCACCAGAAACTTTGCAGTGTTCTCTCCATGACTGCAAAAGGACAAAACATCCAAAGGCAAATCTGCAAACTCAACTATAGGAAATTAAAAAAAAAAAAAAAACACACAACCAAAAACAAAACATCCCCCGTCCACGACAGCCATGAAGACAAATCCAATTATTTGTGTCTCATGTTGCAAATTTGTTCTAATGGATGGAATAGGAAAATAAATAAGTGCCTGCAAAAGGAAACAAAGGGATGCGATTTCTAATTAACATGAAAGAGAGACGAAGAGACGTGTCAGTAAACCCATCTTTCATCCTTCTCCTCTCCTCATAGCCGGCACATTTGTTTGTGCCCGAATGTTGTCTTTTAGAGGGAAGCGTGTTTCCGTTTCGCCAGCAAATTAAATGTCAACAGATTTAACATCGGCTCCAATCTTGTTTTTTCTGGAGCGTTTTGTCGATTTTATTGTTCATTAAGCGTTTGTTTCTTTGCATTGCTTGCGCTCATGTGGCTTTATTTGTCACATCTTGGCTTTGAAGATCACAAAAGCCCGGGACAATAATTAGGTTTAGTGTAATTACAAACTGAGCATAATGAAAGAGTTGAAGGGAAATGTCTGGCCCTATCTGCTCACTGCCTCTCTCCGGATAACCATTAATCCCACATTAGCCCTACACTGTCACTCTAAACAACGGCTTTGAGAAAGATGGTATGATCAGATGACCCTGACCAGGTCACACACATATGCTGAATGTGATATCAAAGATGTAGGGCGAGGTCGGATCGCTCCAGCTGCTACGTAAAACACTGAGGTTTAGATCCTGTCAGCAGGCCGCCTGCAATAGACCCTAAACAACAGTAATAATGGGAGAGGAAAAAGTCATCCATCCAGGCTAAATGTCAGTAGTGATGCAAATAAAAGCTTCTGTAATGATGTGACTCTACCACAGAATTATAAAGCGAAAGATTGGCCTCACACAAGCCTAAACCAGCAATATTTGGTTTGCTGTTGTTCAGCTCAAGCTAAGTTCAAGGAAGCGTATGGTAAACAGCTTTTTTTCCCTCTTTCGTTTTGACAAGAAAACACCTTTTTCGTTTAGCTTTATAAATACCCCAGTAACATACCTGATTTAGGGCTTTTATACACTCCATGCTGTGTGTCAATGAGCATGTGACAACTCCTATGCTGCACCTGTATATCTGCAAGCTTCTTTGGCAGTCTGGAGATAAGATCTGTAGTTAAATTATAATAATAATGTTTGTTTGTTTGCTCAAAAATACTGGATAACTGAATTATTATAAAGCCTTAAATACTCAGACAGACAGACAGACAGTCAGTTAGAAAGACAGACAGATAGATGATAGACAGACAGACAGATAGACAGATAGATAGATACCATATTTACAAACAATATGAATGATCCAATGATCCAAACAAATGCAATGATGTTATTGTCTGTCTGTGTAACGCGCGGCTGCATTTGTCATGACAATGTCACGCTCCCGTTTCAGTGTCTGGATAGACATGTGGTGTGTAAAAGCACACAGATGAAACTCCAGATGGCGAGGACAGACCTGTGCAGCGTAATGCAGGGAAGAACAGCCTGGGTGTGTGGACAGGTTCCCAAAAGGCTGGATGTGCAGCTTCCTCAAGACGGGTGAGGACTGTCCCACACATATAAGTGCACATTACCTTTGATCAGCAGATTATTTTAGGGCAATGACTTTACCCTCTTAATAATAACGTCAGCCCCCAAAGGTTTACTCACTTTGCAATGGGGCAGTGCCTGGAATGATGGGCAACAATTTAGGAACACTGGTGCTGTGTTGCAGAACATGAGATCACCTTGAGGCGCCACTGGGGAAAAAAATGAGGATCCAGTTCAATATTACATTAACAAATTAACTCTGAAAACTGCATTATGAATAGAATGTGTCATGCTTTTTGTAAATAACCTTTACCATAACCAGTTAGAAATGTCTAGTGTGATGAGAACAGAAAAAGTATGAGAAAAGTAGCTAAATTTGGACGCTAAATAACAGTTACTGCATTTCAAAATGATTTCACTGTACACGTACAATTTGCAGTTGGAATGAGGGTAGTTGACTCACCACGGAATAAATTTGTTTTAGTTTACCTAATCTCAAATCCAAACAGCGAAGCATGGAACGACATGCAGTGAAGATGAAACGCACTTTGTGCTGAAAAGATGAAGACGACTCATCTTTTGCGCCATCTTGTGTAAAAACACAATATTGCTGCAACAGTCAAAGCGTTATTAAGCGTGACCAGGAGATGGCAATATTGAACCTTTAATACAAGCTTATTTCTTACAAAAACAACAAAACTCTATTGGACTACTGTATCAAGCCGTTGAGTACACTTTTAATGGTTGCTTGTTATTTCTTCAACCTATTTTCTTTGGGGACATTTTCTATTAACCGTGTTCCGCTTAGAGCAGATCGTCTTTGGAGCTGATTGTTTTCTATCTCTCGTGAGTCGTGCGTCGTCTCCATAGTTACGTCCTGTACGTCCATAGTTACGTCCTGCATGCATACACTGCCTGAGAGCTCGTGAACATGGTGAGTCAAGTTTTAATGTTTTAATTAAAGAAAAATGTTAGTGAAAGTACCAAAATATCTGCATAAATATGCAATAAATCTTTCGTTAAATGACTTCTGGCTTCATATTTAATGAAACATAAGCAGCAAAAGCGAAAGTCCCGAGCCAAAATGTTATGTTTAACTATCCTGGCATTTGTTAGCAATGTTTGTCTGATTTATTATTTACTTTTTTTTCTGTAACGTTAAAGTTTTCCCCGTAATTAGTTTATTTTTATGTCTCCTTTAACAGCCACCAAAGGATGGAAAGGTATGTTTTTTGAGGGGAGTAAATATGTTTGTAAACAGCTTTCAATTTAAAATTACCTTTAATTGTATTCGAATTATTAATATTTGTAGGTCAGCTTTGAACTTAAAAATAAAATCCCAAATTTTTCAGTAAAATAAAGTTTTAAAGAACATCTCTTCATTTTTCCACACACACAACTATTAAAGGGGTCATATGATGCGATTTCAAGTTTTCCTTTCTCTTTGGAGTGTTACAAGCTGATTGTGCATACATAAGATCCCTGAAGTTGCAAAGACTAAAGTCTCAAAACCAAAGAGATATTCTTTATCAAAGTTAAGACTCTGCCACGCCCCCCTAAAACGGCTCATTCTAACACGCCCCCACATATCTACCCCACTATGTGGAAATATTTGCATAATGCACCCAAATGTGCAGCGGGGCATAGAGGACTTACAATAATGTACAGTAGTTGAAAAATAATGTGTTTTTTGAACATTAAAGCATGTCAACATATTCTGTTACACCAAATACACCAAATAATGATCTTTAAAAAAGCATCATATGACCCCTTTAAATTTTGTAGAATATTTGTATAATAGCTTCAAACTTTAAATCAAGCTTTAAAAGACATTAAAAGTAAAATTATAATAATAATCTGCTCAGTTTTCGCAATATAAATAATTTGCATTTTGCATCCAGTCTGCAAAAAAGAAAGAGGGAAACATCAGCAAGGCTGAGAGGGAGAGACTGCAAAGAGAGGTAGATGAACAAAGACTGAGAGAGGAAGGTGCATCTGCAATACTAATTCAACTAATTTTAAATGAGTTTTTACATTGATAATAAACCTATATACTGTGTTTCTGTCCTGTAGAAGAAGCTTGTGTCATTGCTGAGCGTGAGGAGAATGAGTGGCTGGAGAGGGAGCGAATAGAACAAGACAAACAAGAGCTACTCGAATTAAAGGTCTGATGAACTTCCATTTGAACATTCTCAATTGTGTTGCCGACATTTCCCTGCAGTGCTTAGTGCATATGCCACTGATGTCAATGTCCACAGGACAGAGAGCGCAGAGAGGACGAGCTGAATGAACTGCGGCACATTCTATATGAGAATCACTCTGCAGTCACTACGTGGGAATCTGAATGCAGGGACAAAGCTAAGGTACAAGACTGGTGTAGCTCTATTCAGACGTCTCAGGTGCAATAAAAGATCAATCGGTCTTTGGTCTTTATAGTGGGAGCGTTACATGCGTTGCGACGGCAGTCCAGATCCATCGGTGCAACCAGAAATCAACTCCTTCATCAGTTTGTGGAGAGAAAACTCAGAAACCCCGATTCAGCGGGTTTTGGAGAACTGTGCTCTGGCTCTTAAGGTAAGACCAACACTCTGGATCTGTTGTTGTTGGTTTATTCAAGTCAGTTATTGATGACTGAGATGATCCCGCTAAGTCAAGGATCACTATTATTGCTGCTCATGATACTTTTAGTATTAAACATTGGCACATAACTCTATTTGAGGTCCATAAGTGGTACCTCAAATCATGTTCATTATTAAGGATCCGACTTTTATCTCTATGATAATTTTTATCTTTATATGATAAAATGTCACTGAATTAAGGCTATTTTCACCATGAACTGATAAGTATAACTTCAACATTTTAGTAATCATTCTAAATTTAGGTACATGTAATGACACAGAGGAACAATATTGTTGGAAACACTTTCAGAATTTTTTTTTCCAGCTGATGAGCTATAAAATCATCGACAGCCAATTAGAATCCACTGACTTTAAGCTTGAGCATTTAAAGCAGCAGGCGACAAAACTGCAGTACATGCCTATGTTAAAAAGAAAGTTATCGGCCACTCATATGGACGCCAATATAGTTCTCGTTCTTGGTGTGAATGGACCTTAACTATTTCTCATGGACAGTTGACAAACGAACTGGACTTTCTCTTGAGCAAGAGTCCCAATCCTTGTGTTGCTCAGCAGTATCGAGAAACACTCCTGTGTCTACAGAGTCTCATCCACATCAAACTCAACCAGGCCACTGAGGAGCTTCTGAAGGTAAGAGCTATACTAAGATGTTCCTATGAAGCTCACTTCTATTTCAAGACATATCAGATGTGTGACTTTTGCTCTCCATCCAGTCCGCAAATTCTCATTCTGACATTGAGACCGGCAACATGCAGACTGTAGTCCAGGATGAAAATATCACTCTTTGTCTGTGGGCGAACCTCAACAAAAACCCAAGGTTTGTGTGTCTCCATGGTGAATTTTAGGCCCTATTGTGGAATAAAGGAAAAACTTGACAATCCATGTTTCCAGGTTTAAAGGTTTCCGGTTTGAGGAGGTGGGTCTGGGCTTTGAGTTGCCAAAGCCACTTGCTGTGCATGACATTGCTGTTCGGATCCTTCACACACAATACGATCACCTGTCCCACCACAGCGAGCGAGAACAGGTCCAGAGAAGGAGATCCATGATGGAAGCCATTCTCACTCCACCAACTGAGAGCGCTGAGGATAGAAAGATGGAGGGAGAGGGGGTTGAGGGAGAAAGCTCAAAGCCAGTGGAGGAAGACAGTCGTTCGGTCAGATCAGAGAGCAGAAAGAGGGTGAGTGAGGCTTTGATCATGTGTATGTACTTATTTTCTAGTGGCTTCTGTTGCTGTTAATATCAGTGTGTGTCCATGTGTCAGAGTGCTGTAAGTGTGATCTCAGCTAAAGAGGGGAGGAAGAGCTCTTCAGTCAAGCTGTTAGAGGAAGGAGAAAGTCAGATGGAGGAAATCACAAAAGCATTAGAAGCTGGTTTGGACTTTTCATATTTCACTTCCTGATTTTCCTAATTTCTTTATTCTTTGTCCTTATATTAAACAAAATTAGATGAGGTTGAAATCTTCATCACATAAAAATAATAGGGATGCACCGAAATTTCAAAATTTCGGCTGCCGAAAATTATTGCACAAAAATGGCATATTTTTGGCTGTTTTTCTCTTTCGGCCAAAACCCAAAAATGCCATTTTCGGCTGACAAAATGTCAGTGCATCCCTAAAAATAATATATTGATATTTAATATTAATATATTTTCTGTCCAATTTTAATGTTTTACTATCAGTACAACTGTGATTATTTTATTGGCTTGTATTTTTTAAATTCAGTATCATTAAAACTATTGACTTAAATTAAAAAAGTCTTACAAAATTATTTTATATTATTTAATAGCATAAAAAATTATTAAAAAGCATTTTCGGTTTGTGTTTTTGGCCAAGTGCATCCAGAATTTTCGGTTTCGGCCCAGAATTTTCATTTCGGTGCATCCCTAAAAAAAGAACAATGTTTTAGTTAACTATTATATGTATAATACTACCAGTGATTTAAATAATTATAAAATGGATTGTTCCATCTCTTAAATCTACTGTGAAGCTCATATATATAACAGGCAAAATATGCACATTCGTTGAATTATAATAATAATAATAATTAAGTCCAGTGTGTTTAATATTATCAGATATCCCAATTATTTGGCAGAACAATTATTTATTGTGGTTATTATTATTATTACTTTTAATTAACCCTGGTATTTTAATCTGCTGCCACGATTTTATAGAATCAGTAAAGCACTGAAGGATGTCACAGCACTTCACATTATGCTCCTGAACTATGGTAAATTTACTTTAACATACAGCCTCTCTTGGCTTATTGCTTTAATAAGTCTTTCAATTCTTATTGGATGAGCCGCGTTCAAAACCAATATTTTAACCCCCCCCAAAAAATTAAGCTGAAAATGATTTTGATGTTAGGCTGATAACCAATAAATCACTGATATTAAAATTCTATACTACTATTAATGTACAACTTAAATTTCAGTTAGTTGCCAAGGCAACATTTCCATTTTATTTATTAATTTTTATTTATTTATTTATTTTCCTAAGCTTTCCATCGAATATTTATATTGTCAGCTTTATTTTAATTAATGAAAACGAGTTTTAATAGTTTTGGGTAATAATAGCAACACTGCTCAATTTTTATTAAATAAAAAATAGAATAAATATAAAGTGATATATTGTGCATCACTAGTAATACCACTGTAATGGCTAGGTTCTTGTAACTTATTACTTTATTAAATTGTCTCTAGATCAAAATGGTTCCAACTCACCAGCTGAACCTGTGATTGACAGTGCTGACGTACATATAGTGGATCTGCAGCAGTTCACACCCCTTGGCGGAGTCTTCTACTTTGATGTTTTCCATCTTCTGCCCCAGTCTCTCATAGTGAAGGGCTGGGAAATGAGAGAGGTACATCATTGGATGTAATCTGGGACAGTCTGAAAGAGACCATAGAGAATAATGTGCGTTAATTGTCATTTACTGTTGTGCTTCATCATAGCTGTTAGAAACCGGTCTCCAGGTCTTCCCCTATCCCACAGAGCAGACTCGCGTTCAGAGCTCTACCTCAGTGAGGCTGGATGAACACAGTAGCACTGTTGTCTCATTGCCTGTAGGGGTTACTGTAGCTCTGCCTGACTCAATATTGTTTCTGGAGGATCCACATGTGGCACATTGGGATCCTATCGGTGAACAATTGACACCACACATATGTAGCATCAGATTTTGTCTTGAATAAACAGTCTCTGCTCCCTGTTATATTCACATCTTAGTATTTTACCTCTTGCCTGTTATTGGACATCGTTTTCTGCAGGTCAGCACTGGCGGGCAGACTGCATTTCTGAGGCATCCTATGACGCAGAGACCCACAGCATCTCCTTTAAGATGAACACATTCTCTGCCTTCACATTATTGCAGGAGTCATATGCTAACATGCCTTTCCAGTCATGGGCGCTGAGGCCTCTCGGCCAAGACTCAACTTCGTTCACAATCACTGGAGCTCTTATTGAAGTCAGCATCACTGTCAAGGCAAGAGAGGCCCTGTACAAAAATACACATATTTGACAAATAAGTGTGAAAAGATATCAACTTTAAAACAGAAATGTAGAACTTTTCTGTATTCATGTTGTTTGATATAAGGGTTTTGAAAACTAATATATACATATATATACACACACACACTGTATATATATATATATATATATATATATATATATATATATACACACACAATTTTTTTAAACATTACAAATATCATGAATTACTTAATGATTATCAGAAATTTTGCAGCATATGACATTTTACAACCTAGCTTTGCCTTGCCAAAAAGGGGACAAATTACCTGATATTTTGTCCTTACATTTAAAATTATTGACCTTGATAGACAGCCTGAAGGGGTCCTCTCTCTGAAATTTCCTGTTACATTTTTTTCCTGCCCGTTTATGCATGTTCATTGCACCATACGACTTTGATTTGGAGGTCAAACACTTCAAATATTAGCAGTGAAAAAGTTAACATCGCTGAATAGATGCGCTCAAGTTATTGCATGTTTGAATTGCATTTTTAATATATTTTTGAATAAATTAATTAATGGATCCAAAAACGGCATCCAGTCATTGAGCCATTTCATTTATCTAAGACCAACAGTATGCCATCAATTCAAACCCCGGCCGTTTTCGATACATACCGAAGGCTACAAAAATGGTTTTCTCCCTGTGTGCATCAACAGTACTGATTGATAGCTTTTTGTTTCTCAGGGTAAGCAATGTATGCTGCACATGGAGGAAACAGAGAACCTAGATCATCTTCTAGGGAAGTGGATGAGCCCCTCAGAACTGCAGAAGGCCATGCAGAGAGCTGGAATCAATATATTTGTGAATGAGTATTCAGACAAGTACGTCAGCATCAACCCAAAGGTAACCAAGGGGCTGAATTGCCTTACACTCTTAAAAACATTTTCTGTATTGGCATTGATGGTTCCTTGAAGAACATTTAATATGAAGTAGAGTAAAAGGTCTATTGCACAAAGGGGTCTTCAAAAGGTTCTTTAGATTATAAAAATGCTCCTAACACTAAGCAAAAAATGGTTCTTCTATGGCATTGATGTGGAACCCTTCTTTTGGAAGAGTTTAGAGTTCTTTCACTAATTCCTTTTTAAATGGACCAGTCATAGAAACCCATGACGTAACAACTTAGAGCTTACCTAAATATATTTTTATCCATGTGTTTTTCCATTTCTAGGACCCATTAATAGAGCACACAGTGTATGAACAAATGGCTCTAATGTCCTCAGCCGTGGCTTTTTCCTGGAGCCGCTGAAACACACAATGCGGACAAGAGCACCTTGTTCTTCAGGTACGTCATACACTCTTGACAGACTGACTGAAGCACTATTAAACTACTGTACAGATGTTCTTTATAAGCAGGCAGTACCTTTGACCTTTAATATTTTGACTCCGTAGGCATGTGAACAGTTGGAGGCGGGGCCTGTGGCTGAGGAGGCATGGTCTCTTTACCTGCTGGGTGCTCAGAGGAACCAGCATCTGAAGATGAAGGAGCATGACGACAGCTTCTCTCCTGAGCTGACCGAGGGCAGCGAGATCCACTCCACCTTTCTGCACATGCTCAGACAGAACATGAGCACCAAGGGCCAAGCCAGAGTCCGTCAGTCTCATGATCTCTACACAGACACAGTACAGAAGCTTCTGTGTGCAACACGTGTCCTCACATATTCCTGAGAAAAGAAAGCATACACATCCAGAAAGACTACACGCATACACACTAATATCTAAAACATCTGATACCGGTTTTGAATAATCATTGCAACATCTTGATATGCTGAGAACACCCTGTAAACTTCTTTATAGGCAGGTGGACTCAAATGATACTCTTGAATGATTATTTATAACATAAGCAATAAATATACAGTATATATACACAGTAGATAGATAGATACCACCACATAGGAAATGAGAGCATGTGCACTAAATCTTTCATTGAGAAATTGTTCCTAAATGCAGAATATTACAGAAACTCGCAGGTGTATCTGATTCTAAAAAAACTTTTAAAAACAATCTTCATTTAATCATAAATTCTATTAATAATATATTATTTTGGGGGCTGAAATATGACCCAGACATGTTTGGTAAGATTATCCTCGATTTATAGATTGTTATACTCATGTTGAATTAGATGCCATTTGGAAATAATTCATTTACTTCATTTTATACCACCAACTTTGGATAAACTAAAATAAGAACACACCCAAACGAGTATTAAACACACAAACTGACTGAAGCTTTAAGATCAATTTAGCTTGGTTTGCACAGTAAATAATGAGATTAGTTGGATCAGTTTCTTTTATTGTGCAAAGTTTCTCTCCCCCCTCTTTGGAACATACAAAAGTAAATTAACTTTTTACAATGAACACCAAACCAACAGCTTTATGAGGATTAAAAACCATGTGTTTGTAATAATTAATAATATTGAAAAAACTCTACTGCATAAAACTGTAAAATAATAAGTTAACAAAAAGAAAAAATATATTTAAAAATATTTCATCGTACTTTTTCAAACTGCCCATAAAAATACACTGATCAATTTCAAAATGTTTAAAAAGGCAGCCTTTTCGGGCAACTGATATATAATATTTGACATTCACATTGTTGCAGTCTGCTCATCTCACTCCTATCCAAATATCCACCTTGTGACTTGCTGGCACTGACGGTCTCATAAAAGTGCTTATTACATACATGGCCAACACTACGGTTTGCGTACACAGCATCCAAGCAGTCTGCATTTTTCAGCACATCTCTCTCGAGACGCCCACTTTTCTTTTTACCTTCGGTAAGAAATGGTCACAAAGTGTTCTTTTAGAAAGACAGGCGGCAGTGTTGCATTACAGTTCTTGTAGCCGGAGTTTTTTCTGAATGTCAGGACCAGCCACTGCAGCCTTGCCGAACCCCCTGGTGTCACACAGGGGGCTGGCCGTTGTGCCTCAGCCCAGTATAGGGCCACAGAAGCTGCTGGATGGTCATCCAGGAGTCTCCGGTGCCCACAGGTGCTGCATCTACTGCAGGCTGTAACATCAGGCTGGCCAACAAGAGCCAGTAGAACAGCTAGAACTACAAGCAAGGCCACCCAAATCCAGATACCCCTGGTGCCTCTGGACACTGCAGGCCTCCCCTCCATCAGACTGGGTGGAGCGTGATCTGTTGGGCTGGGGCTGGGACTGGGATGGAGAGTGAAAGAAACATTTAAAGAGGAAAGTAAAACAGCATACCATCTTTTCTTATGCTAAATCAGGAAGGAGCAAGTAAAATGTTCATGTCATTGTAATGAGCACTTTATATATCCTTAGCCCAGAAACATACTCTGTCCAAGTAGGTAAACGCAACAGTGTGGTTTCATCGTACATATTTAGCATGAAATCAAGTTTACATAGCTAGAAGCACTGGCATACACATACTTGTGTAGAGTATGTTCTGGGCCCTATTTTCATTAGAAAACAGCAGGTCATTAAAAAAAAACAAATGATAAAAAAACAAATCAGTCTGAATAGGTGAGACAGCTGAGGCGACCTGAAGAGAAAACATTGAACATTCAGAGCAATGTGAAAGATGACAGCTGTTGCTGAAAGCAATGTTTGACAAAGTACATGATAAACGAGACAAACAAGAATGTTTCGATGTTTCAAGACAAACAGGAGTTCTGTAATAGACTGATATACATTGGTCAGACAGAGTAGTTGGCCAATACTTGACCATTTTGAGGTCTGCCAATAACAGAAGCAGCCATTCTGCCAATTTAATTGCCTTTAATTTTTTTAATTATATACACACACACCACCATTCAAAAGCTTGGAGTCTGTAAGATTTTTTGTTTGTTTTTGAAAGAATTATGCTCTCCAAGGCTACATGTATTTGATTAAAAAATACTGTAAATACAGTATTATTATACAATATTATTACAACTTAAAATAACAATTTTCTATTTTAATACATTTTAAAATGTAATTTATTCCTGTGATGGCAAAGCTGGATTTTCAGTTTTCGGTGTTACAAAATCCTCTAGAAACCATTCTAATATGCTGATTTGATGCTCATCAAACATTTCTTATTATTATCAATATAAAAAACTGCTTAATATTTTTGTGGAAACCTTGAAAAAAATTTTCTGTATTCTTTAAATAAAAATTTTAAATAACATTCTAAATGTTTAACTGTCATTTTTGTTTAACTTGACTCCAAACTTTTGAACATATATCTCCACATATCTCCATCCTGCTCTCTATTTATCAGTCTACCACTTATCCTGTTTAAGAAAATACCAGAGAGAACATCAGCACAGCACACAACTCTGGGATCAGAGTACATTGCCAAATGCCCACAACTGTCCACCAATGTGGGGGGAAAACAGATTTAAGAACTTTTGTCTTCTCTCTGAAACCACAGATGGGCTGCTTAGCTCATTTGCTGTAAACCGAAGCAGAAGACATGCAGTGTGTCAGCACTGGTTTCATTTTTCCGCTGAAGAGAAAGCAAAGCTGATGAACTTTGTGGGTGTCCATAATTAAAGTTAGATTTTCTTAGCTTAGCTGCAGGAGCAAAAGGCAGTGACATTTTTGACAGAAAACCTTCGATTTGTTGTAGATAATGCCTGAATGCTGTAGCAGAGAATAATGGAGGCGGGAGGTACACTAACGTCGTCTTATTTGGCATTATGAAGGAGGTGATTTTGATGCCTAGTTCTGTTATGCTAGTCCTTCTTTCCTCTGGTTCCTCTTTCCGCTCCTTCTCTGAGTGAGAGTCTGTGTCATATCCATACCTGTGCAAAGTTCACAGTGCACTGAGTGTCCACCATCTTGGCTCAAAGCCTTTACTGTGGCTCTGCATGACATGACCTTTTGATGGCACATGAGCTTTATGGTTTTGACATGAAATCAGTGCGAAAGACGAAAGGTGTACAACAGATCTTCACACGTGACCTTACCTATTCATCAGAGTGGGCTCATCTATGTCGGCCCAAGTACCAGAGCTAATGAAGCGCTTTAGTGGTGGCCTCTTGGCTGCCATGTTCCTGTAAAGTGGTCGACACACAACCATGACATCCTTTCTCTCGTGCAAAGATGTGCACACAGTATTATAAAACCAACTGGCATACGACTCCAATAAAGCATGGCGCTAACAACGCCAAAGTCATGGGTTCCATTTCCAGAGATCCTACTGATAGGTGTACAATTTGAAATTGTTTGAATAAAAGTATCAGCCTAATGAATAAATCTTGTTCTGGTAAGTTTTGGGTCACACTAACCCATTTTTTGGTGGACTAATACTGACAGGCAGGGCTCCGGTCGTGTTTTATGGACCATGCAATCTCAAAACGGCATCAGAACACTTACCATGGTGATCGGCGGGAGAGTCTCTCTACCTCAGTTTCTGCCATGTCTTTGGGCTGTGAATTAGAAAGCACAGTTTATTCAGATTTTTCACTTCTTTTCTACCAAAAGCATCTCTGTAAGAAGAAACTGGACTCCTCACCATGTCAAAATGGGTCTGTCCTCCACTGCTGCGGGGAATGGTAGCTATACTGATGCGTCGGCTAGTGGTCTAAGGACAGAACACATAAAAATCAGTAAAAATGTACTCGGCAAGCTGAATTCACGATCTTGAAGTGTTGTGTTTTGTGCCTTAACTCACTTTGAAAATGTTTGCGGTTGACTGCTTCTTGTTTCTCAAATCATCTGCAATCACAAAAGAAAACCCATGTGGATAGACAAAAGAGAGACTGGTATGTAGCGTCTGGACCACTCAAACACACAATATATATTTTGTTTTTATATTTAACAAATACTCTGTAACCCCCCTCAGTTAACAAGCCATATGAGGACCCATGAACCCTTCCCCCCCGAAATGCGTAACACCCCAGGAAGCCGAACAGGCTCCTGGTTGCATGGCAACCAACGCTGATATCACTGGGTTTATTGGCCAAAAGAATGCAAAGCAGGGAAAATCCCTGCATGTCCCAGGGCAAGAGGCAGAGTAGAAATGGACTTTTCTACTAATTAATTCATAGGAAAACCTTTCTTTGAATGAACACACATCATCCTTCAGGTCATTGGGTATATTATTGTCATACCACTTTTTTTTTTTTTTTTACAAGTTTACCAAGAATAATATTAACTTACCCCTCTCAGTGTGGGACCCAAAAGACCTCTCATTCGGCGTGAGGTTCTCCCTGAGCTCCAACAGCTCTGCGTGCTCTTTGGTGTACATCCTCCTCAAGTTCTCCACATGTTGAATCATCACCTCCACCGTTTTACCCACTCTGGTCTCCTACACATGCAAGGAAATTGAGATGCAAACAAGCAGGCATCTTTGTTAACTTTGGCTTTAGAGGGCTATTTTAGCACTCTGAAGGGCCTGAGTAAACACACAAACCTGATGAATGGCCCCGAGCATCTCTGAACGGCTGGACACTCTGGTCATGGATTGGATGAGGACTTCCAGGTTCTTCTGCAGACGATGGATCATCTCCATGGACTGGTTATCTTCCTCACACCGTGGAATCAGGGCCTATATAACCAAACAGTGTTATGTTCAAGCTACTTGTTCAAACAGGAATTCAGGTCAAATTTGGGAAGAAATTTTCAGTAAGAATTTTCTGAAATATAAATATAAAAAAAACATTGTCCAGAGCAAAGTACTACTTGCTTGCATTGACAATACATGATCATGTATTTTTTTATTTTATACCAGCAACAAGTGCACAAAATGACACAGACCTGCAGCAGACCTTTACAACTGTTCACTTCCTTCCGGACATTCTCCTCAGCCAGATCTCGTGAACGCTCCTCCAGGTGTAGCCTCTTCTCCAGGGTGAACACGTCACATTTGAATCCCAGAGAGAGCCGGTGGAACTCCGCCTGGCAGGAAGAGCACATGGTAAACACTCTAGAAACATCACTGACAAAACATATTTCAGAATTTTTTGTAATTTCCTAATTATTATGAAAACGTAGGTGTTCAGATTTTGTGTGGATTTATTTATGAGCTACCAGTGTAACTTAAGATACAAACACCAGCCATTTCATATGAAGACAATCAACCATTATTATTATTATTATTATACGTGTAGCAGTCTGCATATTCTTCTGCAATTTTTCTAAGGTATTTTATTTTTTAGTATAACTAATATATATATATATGGTGACCGTGACTTCACCAAGTACAACATGTTCCTGGATCAACATCCTTGTTGATCCTGGAACAACATTCCAATTAACCAATCAGAATTGAGGGATAACTTTTCAGGAAATGTCTATTTTAGGCTTACAATCAGGGTTAGGTGCTTCTACACACTTGTTAATCAGGTATCATTTCACACTGATTTTAGGAATAAATTATGGGTAGGGTTAGGTTTAGTCTATATTTTTGGACAGTAATGTTGATCCAGGATCAACAAAAGATGTTGATCCAGGAACATGTCTTACTTGGCAAAATCACGGCGACCATATACATACATATATATATACAGTGGGTACGGAAAGTATTCAGACCCCCTTAAATTTTTCACTCTTTGTTATATTGCAGCCATTTGCTAAAATCATTTAAGTTAATTTTTTTTCCTCATTAATGTACACACAGCACCCCATATTGACAGAAAAACACAGAATTGTTGACATTTTTGCAGATTTATTAAAAAAGAAAAACTGAAATATCAAATGGTCCTATAAACATACATACACTATGTTGAAATGGGACTGAATGAAGAAAAAAAAAACACCTCACCTCTATCTCTTTGTCACTTGGTGACAGGCTGCAGATGAAATGCACATTTCAGATGTCAAGTGAGTCATGTGAAGACATGCTTGAATCAGATTAAAATTTATGGATATAAATTCAGTACACAAAGCATTATAACCTGTTCTTGTCATCTTTGGTGGAATCGCTGGCATTTTCAGAGATGACAGATGTGTCACCTGAGGGAGGTAGAGGAGACTGACATTGATGGGAAACAAGCAGAAATAGATGAGAAAGAGGCAGACAGGGAGAGAGAGAGAGATCATTTATCTACCTTCTTTTTCTGTGGCCACTGAAGGCTCGCCATCCTCCTGAGCTTTTTGCTTCTCAATGGCTTCCATACTGCTCATTTCCTGTAAGAGGACCATTTAATTTTAAATGTACAACCCAGGCATGTCAAGTTCAGCATATAGTTCACACTGGGCATCAGACGGCATGTTACGTTTATTAACACCACAATCACGTGTAATTAAAATGAAAATACTTGGCAAAGCAGGTAGGACCAGATTCTCCAGGCTTTTGTTGTATTTTGCTTAGTTCATTGATTCTAGTGAGAATGGCTCTTACCTTCTTGAGCTTGTTCCTCAGAGTCAGAGGGTCCTTCTTGGAGCCTTGCACAGCAGAGATTGTTGGAAGATTACCCTCACTGACTGTGGGGTCAAAGGTCATGTCCTTCGCTTTTTCAGAAGGATCCTTCAATGAGTCAGCTGAGGCTGCTGAGTTTGAATCAGATGTGACCACTGTCCTTTTGCTGTCTGATTTGTCTTTGTCTAAAAAGAAAAATAAAGAAAGAAGAGACACTTAAATAGCAGCTCTGATCCAAAACCTAGTGAGCAAACAAGGTGAGTGTAATGTTAATGTAGACTTTCATAATTCACACTATCAATTTCAAAACCATAGCAAAAGCCAAATTGCTATTGAACATATTTAAAAAGCAAAACATGAATATAAATATTAACAAATTAAATTAGAATGGCATGCAGCCTTCAAGTATTTGTCAATTATGAACACATCGCTTTAAGTTTTCTTATGTAAATATTCAAGTAATCAGTCAGTAATGAAAACAAATAAATTAATAACAGTTCCTGATTTTCTCTTTTTCTTGTCAATAATGTTCACAGATTAATTTTAACATAAAAATAGACATTGGCAAATCTGTGTTTCCATTAATCAACTTCATTTTGACCAAGAAGTGTATTCAATTGCTGCAAAAGCAGTCGTCAGAAGCAGTACATTTGACATCCCTATTTCAAAGGTCAACAGGTAACATCCACAGGTGTATTTCCTCCTACCTGGTGAGTTCACGCCAGTTGATATCACCTCCGCCGCCTCTAGCATGGCCTCCTCTTCCTCTGCTACTGGCAGCAAGAGACTCCTAAACAAATAATTAACAATAAATGTACAGCAACTCTTTAAGATACACACAATTACAACACTAACATACTCAGTCCAGCAGCTCCTGTGTAATAAATATATTCAAATAATCAGTTGCACAAACAGGAAAAATACTCACTTGTCCGATTTTGCAGACACTTTAGAAAGCTGTCCCTCACTCAGTCTCTATAGGTGACAACAGAATGGCATTATGACCCAGTGACACACTCTGAACAGCAACGCATATACATTTGTGTAAACTACCATCATATGCAAATAAACATTACACACGGCACACGCATGCATTTCCATACCTGTCCCATGACATGGCAGATGAAATATAACAGCTACACTGCTTTACAGAGAGAGAGAAGTGCTAGATACTTACATAATGTGTGTGAGAGCTCTACAGCTGGCAGAGAGAGAGAAGATGGTAAAGACAGGAAGAGAGAGAGAGGGAGTGACAGAAAGAGAGGGGGAGGGCTGGAGGGGGAGAGTACTTGTACTGGCAGAGTTCATTGAAGTGGGAGTGAAAAAGTGCTATACTTATTCCAAACATACTGATGAAAAACCACACACACAGCCTGAGCAACATATTTTATCATCAAGTTCAAAAAACACAAGGAATATAACAATTAAACAACCAACTAATAACACCAAAAAACGGTTGCAGGTCTGTTCCGATTGAGTCACAGTCACCAGGGAAGAAACAAATGCATGATTAGTTGGTTAGTTGCACTTAGCAAAGTTAGGATAGCAAAATAAATAGGCTTATGAAAAGCTTCCCATATTTTCTGTTGACATCAAAGGCTAAGAGCCCAATCTGTCATTTGGTAGAAGCTAGCCAAATTAGGCAGATCGCAACATTTATTGCACTTGACGTCCAATACTAAATATGGGTTATAAAGCAAAACCGGTTTAAGAAACCAGTTAAGGGTTGTTAAGATTTTTCATGTTTTTGAAACAAGTCTCTTTTAACGCTCACCAAGGCTGTATTTATTTGATCAAAAATAAAGCAAAAACAGCAATATCATGAAATATCACAATTTAATTTTTTTTTCTATTTGAACATTTTAAAATGTATTTATTCATGTGATGGCACAGCTGACTTTTCAGCAGCCATTACTCCAGTCTTCAGTGTTACATAATCCTTCAGAAATCATTTTAATATGCTGATTTGGTGTTCAGAACACATTTCCTATTATTATTATCAATGTTGAAAACAGTTGTGCTTCTCAATATTTAATATTAAAGGGGTCATATGATGCGATTTCAATTTTTCCTTTCTCTTTGGATGAATAAAAAGTTTAAATGAACAGCATTCATTTGAAATAGAAATCTTATATAAAATTATATATACATTTACTGTCACTTTTACTCAATTGAATGCATCCTTGCTGAATAAAAGAATTATTATTATTATTTATTTTTTAATATAAGCATCATACTGACCCCAAAATTTTGAATGGCAGTGTAAACTAGCTTTTATGCATTTAGGCTAGACCCGAATATGAAGCATTTCTTTAAAACCAATACATGTTATAGGACAGTTGAATTATCCCCTACCTACACTGATGTCTAGTAATATGCTGCATGCTGTATTAATAGAGGTTTAACACTGCCCACTCCCTATGAACTGGAGTGCAGAGAAGCCCTCAGATGAAGTGCGGTTTATTTTGGTTGCACTCCAAGTTCACCTAAATATCTCCCATCTTATCATTATAAGTTAACAACGTTCATGACAGAGTCAACAATTGGGCAATTAGCACACTGCATATGTCAGAATAATGCTTAGCTTTGCAGATTAATAAAATAGTTAATATCTGATCCTGGACAAACAAACGGGCAAATTCAACTTACGAAACCAGGTTGTCAGATGCTTGTATTAACTTGAAAAGCAGCTCACACAAAGCAATTCTAAACAACACCGAAAGCCCTGGCACATCACATCGATAAGAGGGTAGGCACGTCCTCTCACGAGCAGTCATTCTTGCTTACCGCCATCCAGAACTCCCTCAATTGGCCAACTGCAGGCTCCCCTTTACGGCACAACAGAAAAGGTAGCTACTCTCTCACTACACAGGACCACCAAACAGGAAGTTTTTTTTACAAAGGAACATGACAAGAGAGAAAGGCAAAACTAGAAAGAAACAGAAACACAAAAGGGGAAGAAGAAGAAATGGCAAGCGGCGCTACAAACGCAACAAGCTTCCCCTTGGTTTCCTCTTCTTCCTCAAACTGACCTGCGAGTCACTCATGTCGGCTGTGGCGGCCGCACGCTCTCCCTCAGATCCTCTGTTTGTGGCAATGGGCTGCTGGGTCCTGACCCGGGAAGAAAGATAAAGTTTGTCACTATATTGTCGGTTTGTTTTTCCGATCTTTCAGGATGCAGCTGCTCTCAGTAAGTGCAATGATGGTTTGTGTGATCCAGCAGAGCATGGATGGGGCGTCTGTCCGAGCCTGGTCACACAGGTGCATGGTAACATGCAAAGCGAGGCTCTGTCAGTAGTAATAACTCCTTAATATGTCTACACAAAACAGCCCAACACAGGAAGAGACGACACACATTTGACTAGCAAATGTGATCTTTGGGTGTGTGGTAGGCATTTTGAATGAAAGCAGACCATAATTTATTTTTGGTGAATCATTAACTAGCACTTTATATCAGTGAGCCAGAGAAAATCCACAAGCAAATGCTGAAAGATGGAAATTGTACCTTCCTGTATTAGAATCACCAACTTCAGGCTGGCCCGATGAGGGAGATACCATCTCGGAGGTCACAAGGGAGGAAGGTTCAGTAGATGAAATAAGGTCTTTGACTGAGGTCACCTGTTCATGGGGCGTCTCGGAGCTCACAGATGTATCATCTGGAGAGTGAATGGGTAAATGTAAGGGTAAGACACACAAAAAAAGATTAAATAAATTTACATTGAATTAAAAATAGTCATAACAGGAACATTAAAACTTTAATTATGTGTTATTAAAATCATTTAATATTCAAATGACAAATGAAATGTATTTTCGTCTAGTACTGTATGTTGCTAAAATGATAGAGAACATTAAGCAGAGAAGGACCGTGAGAGGAAGAGCTTTTACCAGCACACTGACTGTGGGTGTGAGGCAGAGGAGCAGCCTGCTCGTGGGCGTCCTCAGGCCCAGTGCACTCTGGGAGTCTGTCTTCCTCCTGCAGTGGCCAGGAAAAGATTCAGAAGGCCAACATAAAATGAACCTCTACTCTGCCAGAGAAAACCCAAAAGACGACATATTGGCTACTTTTGAATGATGACTGGGTGCAAATCCACACTTCAGACATTTGCAATGCAAATTGTGGAAAGTTCATTCAGGTGTGATGTGCAATACCCTCTCAATGTGTGTTTGCGTGTGTACACTGGTTCTAAGGGTCATCCAATTTCCCACTAGCATTCAGGAAGTAGCATTCTCTAGTAAAACTATGAACCCGGCGGCAGCGAGTCACATGGATCCACCGACCATGCCAAACATTAAACTTCAATGGAAACAAAAATAAACAATGTGGTTTAGCATGCCTAACACATGACAAGGTCACTAAAAAATGTTTTTGTATTTCATGGTCAGCCACTCTGAAAGCTTGTATTTAAAAAGTATGAAACGCCTTGAACTTCACTATATCAATGAGCATAAAACAGTTGCTTTTGTGTCACTGCATCATTAGGGTGGCCCTTATTGGGGGGTAAATATTATTTATTGGAAACCTCTCACCCCCTCATTTGTTTCTCCACTAGAAGTATGTAATGTATGCAAAATACCATCCAGATAATTTGTCATTTAGGGTATGCGTATCTTTTTATCAACAGGTACTTCAAGATCTGATTGGTAATATTACAAAAGTTTTGTTCACTGATAAACTTTTGACTGTTTTTGATATCAGGTGATTCTCTAACCATTAGGCCACAACTGCCCCTTTGTTTTTCCACTAGAAGTAGGGCAGTTGTGGCCTTATAGTTAGAGAGTCAGACTTGTAACCCGAAGAACCACGACTGAGGCCCTTGAGCAAGGCACCAAACCCCCAGCTGCTCCCCGGGCGCTGGAGCAAATGGCCACCCACTGTTCCGGGTGTGTGTGTGTTCACTACTCACTGCTGTGTGTGTGCACTTGGTATGGGTTACCATACTTGGCAACATGTCATGAAAATAGCAGAACACTCACAACTTCTTTATTCTTGATCTCCGTCAGGACTTCCTAAATGAAGATACTGGTTCTTGGGCAAACAGTGCAAATGCAAGAAAGAGGTGTTGCGCTTATCCAAGAGTACAACGGACTCCTCTCAAAGACTGAAGAACAAACGCAGTTCATTATGCAGATTGTCAGAGAGCACCAAAGTCTGTTTCTAGGTCCCCGCATGAGTACTGTGGTTGAAGGACTTTTCGGATCATCATAAATATCTGGATCAGATCTCAGTTTTGTTCCAAGTTCACTTTCTTCACCAGTACAGTAATTTCACTTTTTAACATTCTGCTTCTACAGCTGCAAGAACTTTCAGCTGAAGGCTATGTCGGATTGTCATCACGATCTAGAGCAGATCGCTATTTTTCAAAGTTTTCATCAGCAGCATTGTAATTTAACTTGTTTTTTTTTTTTTATATTTTATTTTTGGCTTTTTATGCCTTTATTACGATAGGACAGTAAGTGGACAGGAAACGAAGTGGGAGAGAGAGATGGGGACGGGATCGGGAAAGGTCCGTGAGCCGGGACTCGAACTCGGGGCGGCTGAATCTCAATGGTGCTACATGTTGGTCTAACAACACTGTTCTATGTTCTGGTTTTTAACCTAATTCACAGTTTACTAATGGTCTTGTATAATTATTAATTACATGCTGTTATAGTCATTAAGACATCATTTCAATTTTGTTGCTCACACCCCAAACCTCCAATCTCAGCAAAATTTGGTTTGTTTCCATTTCCCATGAAGGGGAATTGACTGGGCGGGTGAGAGCAGAAGATTTCAAAAGTCCAAAAATAAGGGCCACCCTATGCATCATAAGACAGACCACAAGAATGATAACATTTACACAACTATTAATTGATTTGTTTGATGATAGTTTGTAGAGAGGTTTTATGGGAAATGAAGATGAGAGAAACTGAAATATACCTTCAGAGATGTAAAAGGCCTCTGCGTTCCTCTCTCACCCACAAACAGAGTTTCTGAAAAAGAGAGAAAAAAGGTCATGAAATGGCATTCATAACCCATTTTATTTACATGACATATTTCCTAGCAGAGCAGCATATTTAATGAGCACAAGAAAGGGATTCACCTATAAGGTTTAACTAATATTAAAATTCTATACTCTTTTGTGAAAAAAAATTAAAAAAAATAAAATTTAAAATCAATTGTTTTCAATGTGAAATGTAGGCATCACAATGTTAAAATGTACAGTACAAACAACTGCTATTCATTTAGAGATTTTAAATTAAAAATCAGCCAATAACCAATATGGTACCAATACACTGTGCATCCCATAAACATGTGTTAACTGTAAATCTAAAACAAAAGCCTAAATATCTTAGCCTAGGGGTTGTTAACCAAACATTTCAGAAGCAAAAATAATTGTTACATTTTCAGGAAAGATTACAAAGTACATAAACATTTTTCAACACAATAGCAACTGGATTAGAAATATTTATAATACAAAACGGTGCTATTAAAAAAGTTTTAGAGATATAAAAATCAGCCCATTTAAACTTTACATTTTTTAATGCTTTAATGTCATGTCCAGGTGTTATGGTCACATAATGGGGCTTATAAAGTGACAAGCCTCTGTTGTTATTCAGCAGTCATGTGGTCAAGGATGGGGGACAGAGGATAAAGGTTTACTTTACATACTGACCAAAGATGGCAGAACAATGGTAGAAGGACAGCCAAAAAAGGTCTGGAGCTAGAGTGACCCTGCTTTTCCAGCTTGTGTTTAAGCTTCAGGGATGGCTTCCTGCCCTGTGCCACTAAAGGGTAAGGAAGGATTATATGGCCCGAGGAATCTGACACAGACCGGTTGTCCACTAGGTGTGACCATGTACACCAGACAACTTCATCTCAAATCACACACCCCCATTAGACCTGAATCAAGATTTATTCACATCCAAAAAGGTTTTTCTTTAGAGAGGAAAAACACATCATTTGAGTATAAAACCTTCTCCATCTTGCAATTTCAGACACTAACTTTGAAACCTCTTCAGAATCTTGTTTGCAATCTAAACTTCACCTTCTCCCTCAGCCCTTTCCGTTATCTTCTCCTTGCCCTCCACAGTCTCTGTGTGTTCCACCTCCCCCTCTTCCTCCTGTTTCAGGGCCTGTAGTTCTTCTTCATCACAACAGAGCTCCTGAAGCATCTCCTGGTCAGGCCCGAGCTCTTGTAAAGGTGGAGACTCAGACAACACATATTCCTCATCCCATTCAAGAGAGGGGCCATCCAGCTCTTCCACAACCTGAAGGTACACAATCACACCAGTCACATGTCAACAACACAGGTCAACAAACACTATATTAAAAGTATATGGGCCTCCCCAGCTTACTCCTAGTTCTTCAAAAGGTTTCTTCTTCATTAACTTGAACATTTTGGCACGCTTTTGGAGATTTTGGAACACTATGCATAGCAATATATACAAATAAACTGAATTGGAAAATAATAAAAGTGAATCAAACTAAGACATGAACCAAGTTCTGAACATAAGAACATTGTGGGGTAATAGGTCAACGGCGTCTAATCTCTTGAGATGAAGTCAAGTTTCAAACTGGCTCACAAACCACACTTGCCTCCTACACACACAGCGCTCAGCATCTTGTAATGAGACTGTAAAAGTATCCATCTGTGATCTGCAGAAGCTCGCAAAAATCTTTATTTCTGTTTTGCCCAGGGCTGAATCTAAATCTGTCATGAGTTTTAAAGCCCACATATGCTGAAGCATGTGCAGGCAGTGAAAGCAAGTGTTTAGTGAGGTTCAATACCTGCTGTAGGTGATCCGGTGTTTGGCTGCTGGCCTCTCTGTTGTCCAGCGGAGCCTTTAGTCGGTCAAGTTCCTCTTGCAACTGCTCCTTCTGATTCTCCTGCTCTTGTACCCTAAAAATTCACACAAAACCCACTGAATTCACAAAACTCCAAAAAGACAATTTCTCTTTGACTAAACCTTTTGTGCAAACTCACTAGATTGCAACTTCTGCAAAAAGTGAATGAAAATCAATTCACTGATTAACCCCCCCCCCCCATTCTGGTTATTGAAAAGCATTACACATGAGACCACGCCCCTGCAATGTTGATAAAAATTTGAAATACATCAAGAATCGGATCATGACTTCTTCAATCAAAACCTATTAGTGAGGTACCTAAAGATTCTCTTGTTACACAGAAAACACATTCTAACAAACATAACCCCCATACATCCTCAGCAGATGTCTGAACTGTTCACAAATGCTACAAAAGCAAAAGAAGGATATACCCAATCCGCAGGCCCAAGCAATGTCCCATTGCTCCTTCACCCCAATCTTAGAGCACCACTGGACAGTGCAACTCCTTAACTTCCCTGGCTTCTCTCAACAGCCTTTGCCTTTTATCCAAAGTACACTGACTAACGTAGCCTTGAAAACCGTGTAATGTCAGATTAGCGCCACCTCTTCAGTGAACCAAAAACAGCTTGAGGGGGTCAAACGGAACAGCCCCTTGACAAAAGCTTCTAGAGACATTCACACAGACATGGACTAAATTGGTAAGGCCTTGCCCCATAATCCTTCCACTGCTTTGAAAAGGGTGATGTTTCAAAATGAATATACTCTGGTTAAAAAAAAAAAACTATTTCCACTTATCTCTTCATTAAAATGATTACAGTTTGCAATCTCAAGATTTCCATAGTCTCTGTTAACTGCATGGCCATGTTGGTGTACCACCGATATCTACTACCAAGATCAAACTCTAAATTAAGTTACTATGTCTAAATGTAACTTATGGAATACCACAAGTATCTGAAAAAACGAATATATGACAGAAATAATCATGAAAACACAAGGTTTCATCCCAGCGGCACAAGACCCTGCTGGCAGATACCAGAAGAATCTATCTTCATTGAGAGGCATACAAAAATCTGATGAAATACATTTGTTTTGCTAGCAACACACAAAATTGGAAATATTTCATTATAATAAAGTAGCTGTTTTGCCAGTGACTGTTTTTGGAGGCATTAGAAAGTGTCTGCTGCCATTCACATCACAGAATTAGTCTGATGGCATTTACTACAACTAAGGTGATAAAAGTCTTAAGTTTTATGGTCACATTAGCAAAGTTTTGGTGAAATTGTGTTGGTGAAAGGGCCATAAGCTATTGTCAAGTAGTGTAGCGATGTATGAAGCACCTTTCTGTTAGTCACTGCCACGAATTTTCGAGACCAAACAGAACCATTTTCGAAATCTCACGTGAAATTCCTGTATACGTATATTCCTGTTGAAGTGGATTTCGCCCGTGAAAATTCATAACACAATGGTAAATATGACTGGAAAATGGAGAATAAATGTATTCCAAAAAAACTCCCCATAAAAAGATAGCTAATAAAAACATCTCTGCTACCAACTCAGTCCACTCACTTGACAGACAGCTGCAAGATCTCAGTACGAGAACGTCGCATGTTGCTAGCCATCTTTAGAAGCTCCCTCTCCAAAGAGTCTGTGTACTGGTCCAACTGCTCCAGACTGCGGGTCCAGTCACTCCTCCTCTGCTCGAGATGCACCTCCAGGCCCTGCAGGAGTTCACAAAATCAACAATGAGGTTTAATGACTAAATACATCACACAGTGCACCAGTCAGTCATTAATACCAGCTAAATCTTACTGAATGCGGTAATAAGATCAAAAAGTTTAATCAAAGATCATCTTAAGGAGAGTCACAGAGTTCCTCTGACCTGACACACTGCCCCTGTGCATCGTAGGAATTAGCCTAAATATTGGCCTGTATAGTCGACCATCGGGGAAGACCACACATACTGATGCGGTCCAGTGAATACACACAATAAGAGTGACCATGTCCAGCCAGGTAGTTATGCAATGTGGTAGATAAAAGTTCAGACAAGGGGAGAGGAGTTCTTGTATAATTTTAACTGCCCATGTGTATCTCCACATAATGTTATCAGGATTAGTTAATTACATATGTGCCAAAATTTGCATAACTGTTTTGATGGATACTTTCCAATTTGACTTAGTTGAAGAAATCCCCTTACCTGTATCTTGAGGTCAGTGTTGACCTCCTTAGTTTCAATGTGCTCTGTAAGGCCTCTGAATGCTGTGAGACAGGTCATGCAGTCTTCCTTAAACTCCCTTTTCTGGAACAATTCATGATTGACACACTGTGAACACTCCAAAACACCAGCATCATACTAAACCAGCATTCAGGTGTCTAAGGATGGAAAGCTGGCAAAATTAATATCAGACTAACTGAAGGTTGCTTAAAAATTGTGAGTGTGATGGCTGGTTAGTTGATTACCAGTCTGCTGATCAGAGTTTTATACTCTAGAGACAGCTGCTCTGGAGTCGGGCCTTGGAGGAGCAGAAGAACTTCACGATCTAGAGTCACATCCAGAGAAGATGCAAAACAAACAGAGGAGGACAGATGCTCCAAACCCTAAAAATACACAGACATGCATAATGTATAATAATGTATAAGCAATATAAAATTAATTTCTATCAATATTTTATAACATTACAACATAATATAACATTTAAAATATTTTAAATATAAATATATTTTAGAAATATATACATTTTTATATTTTGTATTTATTTATACTTATTTATTGAATAAATAAATAAATATCTATCATCTCTAGGGTTTACAGAGAATGGTCAGAAAAAGAGAAAATATCCAGTGAGCAGCAGTTCTGTGGGCGAAAATGTCTTTTTGATGCCAGAGGTTAGAGGAAAATGGAAAGACTGGTTAGAGCTGGTAGATATGCAACAGCAACTCAAACAACCACTTGTTACAACCAAGGTATGCAGAAGATCATCTCTGAAAGCACAACACGTCGAACCTTGAAGCAGATGGGTTGTAGCGGCAGAAGACTGCACTGGGTGCCACTCCAGTCAGCAAAGATCTGAAAACTGAGGCTACAATTTGCACAAGCTCACCAAAATTAAGACACAATAGATTGGATGAGTCTCGATTTCTGACATTCAGATGGTAAGGTCAGAATTTGGCATAAACAACATAAAAGCATGGATCCATCCTGCTATGTATCAACAGTTCAGGTTGCTGGTGGTGTAATGGTGTGGGAGATATATTCTTGGCACAATTTGTGCCCTTCAGTACCAATTGAGCATTGTTTAAAGGGGTCATATGATGCTATTTTAAAGATCATTATTTTGTGTATTTGGTGTAACAGAATACAGCCTGCCTGAGTATTGTTGCTGACCATGTCCATGGCTTTATGACCACAGTGTACCTATCTTGTGATGACTATATGGACCAAAATCTCTGAGGAATGTTTCTAGCACCTTGTTGAATCTATGCCATGAAGAATTAAGGCAGTTTAGAAGGCAAAAGATGGTCTAACCCAGTACTGGCAAGGTATACCTAATAAAGTGGCCAGTGAGTATATATAAACAATATTGTTTTTTAGTATGTAGTTATCACCAGCTACAATAATGGAAACACCCACAGCAAAAAAAAAAAAAATGCACATGTAGTCAGACTCATTGTAATGCCTAAAGTTTGGTATAAAGCACAGAGAGGGTGTGGATTACTGAGTGCACTCTATGGCAGTGAAGTGGGAGAGAGTGGGCGGACAGAAAACAGCACATAAGTGCTGGTGGGAGTGGAGAGAAAGAGACACTCCAAATCATGGACGGGACAAAGACATACACAGGAATTGCAAACACAAAACACACTGCAAACCTCCAGGGGATTCTGTGCCAGTGCCAACTCTGTCTGAAGAGAGCCTGAACTCATCTGATTTAGTCTGTAGGCCACAGAAAGAGAGAGACCTGGTCTGCAAACACATACATACACAGTTAGAAGAACATGTGAAGCAATTTCTGATGTTTGTGCAAGTATCATGCTTGCCATTAATAAGATTAATTAATCAGCTAATATTTTCACTGCGATGTGTTAAGTGCATTACAGAGCTCTTACATTGTCATATCAGGCTGCATCATCTGCATTTGACTCTCCAGTTTGTTCTTGTCCGCTCTCAACAGCTGAAGCAAGCACAACATGGATCCAAAATTAACTCAGTAATCCCAAATTAACACACGGACAATAATTCAACACTCTGGAGTAAATTATTTTACTTATTCCATGGTTATCACATGTACACTTGCTTATCTATAATAATTTTTTAGATTTTAGTCCCTAAAACATTTGCATGTAGAACTACTTTCTTACACCACTGATTAAGCATTCTGAGTGAGTAAAGCAGTGTCTGCTTTGCCTCTCAACCAAATACATGATTTGTCACATTATTATACACTTCTATGGTATTTTCTCATGGACAGTCACCACATTTCTGAGTTTCCAATGAAATCATATATATAGACTACTGTGCAAAAGTTTGGGGGTCATAAGAATTTTTTAATGTTTTAGAAAAAAACGACCATTCAGAAATCATTCTAATATACCAATTTCACTAACCAAGTTCACTACATCCATTTGTATGCCTTGTAAACTTAAACATCTGGTTTTCTGTGTTGGATTTTAAATTGCTGTTGCAAATTTTGCTTATTTGACACACAAATAGTGTCATCTAGCTGGTCAGCAGAGTGCAAAAATATCTTGGTAGTCTTGGAAGCATCAGCTACAAACAAATTAGTAATGTTCTATGAAAAATATAAATATCTCTAGAAAATATAAAAATATACTGGTATAAAAATAAAAAATTGATTATCCTTCTGTGAAATCATAGATACTGGTCTGTTGAGTTCATTTGTAGTAGGCTGTATGGCTCTTTGAAGATCTGTTTATGTGAAACTTTAACAAATTGGGCAGACATGGCAATATGATATCTAAATAAAATGTGGTCACCCTGGAACTATTTAAAGGGGTCATATGATGCGATTTCAAGTTTTCCTTTCTCTTTGGAGTGTTACAAGCTGTTCGTGAATAGATAAGATCCCTAAAGTTGCAAAGACTAAAGTCTCAAACCCAAAGAGATATTCTTTATAAAAGTTAAAGAGCAGGTCATATGGGTTTTCGAAAAATATTTTGCAGTTTGTAAGGTAGCTATCCTTCAATGTAAACAGTCTGCAAAGTTGTTAATCAAAAGAGTGCATGATAAAGATATTGTCTCTCAAAAGAAAGAGTCGACTCAGAATCGCCTTACTTAACGAGTCTGTCTTCGAATCT